GCTTAAAAAGAAACCTCCTCCAGCATTGTGCGCGTTTTGTGAACAAGAAATTCACATAGACGATCCTCAGCTTCATTGTCGAGGTGATGGCGAATGTCCTTGAATTCTTCCTCCTCGTCCAGTGATTTCTGAATTCAAAATCAGTTCGACTTAACAAGGAAAATGATTATATATGCGGTTTAGCCTGCTTAACAAAACAAACTGCTGGACAAACAGTGCAGAAAACATATTCTTGCTAGCCCATTCTCCGTTCCCTGGTTCTTTGAGACGCGAACCGTAACGTATTTGAGGCCTTCAGTAATTTTTAGCTTATTTATTCTAGTCTATACTTTTCAGCAGTGAAACCTAGATACCATAATCGAAATCGTGAAAAAGTACCCCTCTCGGCCCTCTAACATACTTTAAGCAAATTGATGAATTCGAATCCTCTTGTTGTCCTATCCAAATCTAGTGTGAATCGGATGGCCATATTGTCACCTGGCGTCTTCGTTTTCGGCGATTCAGTAAGGTCCCTCAAAATTAATGTTTTGATAGAATCGTTCTGCTGGGTGAGGATTTCAAATTTTGTGCGTACTAACTGAGCACCACTGTTTTTCCTCAAATTTTAGGTACTTACGAAATTGCGCTTCTTTTCTTTCGGCGTACCATAACTTTGACACCACCGGCACTGGGCGTCATAAGTGAGCCTGGCTCTTTTTCTATGGTTCGGTCCGCCGATTGCACTATTCTAAGCTAAATGTTCATCGTCAAATTTTCGATTGTAAAGAGCACTGAATCAAGAAGACATTTCTTTTTCCATTAACAAAGAAAAGCAAATCAAATAACTATTCATTATATACAAGTTTATATGTGTTTGAGTAATCTTTTTCAACACTATTAATTGATCTATGGCTCAAATTATTCCTGCAATTATTTTCTCCCGTTTATTCATACTCCTCCTATAATTCTCTTCTATTCTCTTTTCTCCCGCTCTTCTATTCTCCTTGTCTTGCTTATTTAATGTCTTTTTCA